CGACTTCCCATCCAGGGCTCTCTCTATGGCACCACGCTGCCTTAAATATCTTCACTACTGAATTACAAAGCACAGATTTTGTTTTAGGTAATGCATTTTTAGCCTATTCCTACATTTTAGCATTGGTTTCTTTCATTCATGTACTCCATGAATATTTATTAGGCACTTGCTGCTCTGTGTCAGGTGCTGTTCCGGGTGCTGGGGGTCTAGGCGCGAACAAGAAGTCCCAGTCATCAGGGAGCTCCTGTTCTAGAGGCGAAGCACACCCATACTCATGGGCAGGGTTGCTGCAGCCTCTCTAACTTCACAATCTACTGGAGGGAGCTCACCAGTTACTACTACAGTGAGGAGCTGCCCTGGGGCTCACTCTGACTCCTGATGGAGGTCCACCGTTAAACTGAGCATGAGGAAAAATGCCCTGTGTGTCCCTGGTAAATGTCTGTAGCATGCTGTACTAATTTTGTAATGGATCGTGGGTGAACTTCAAAAGTCTACAATAAGCAGTATTACTGTGTGGGAACAGTTCACCATTTCACAGATATTACTTTGGCACCTACTATATACTAGTCCCCGTTTTAGGTTCTCAGGCTACAAATAAAGAAATCCTCTTTCCTACTGAAGTTGCTGAGCCTAACGGGGGAGACAGAGAGGCAGACGTGTAAAGAGAGAAATGCAGTACAGCATGGTCTGGGCCAGGTAAGGGCAGCATAGAGAATAGGAGAGTCCTGAAGGGTTGGGAACTGGGCAGGGAAGGATTCATAGAGGAAGCAGAGCCTGAGAAGTATTCTGAAGGATTAACAGGAGGCAAAAAGGAGTTCTGAGATAAAGGCACAAAAGTCTGCAGTCAGAGCTAGCTTGATGTGTATACAAGCTGTGCAGTCAAGCAGGGTCCCACACTTAGCAGGGCCCTACACTTGGTTGAATGCTTTGCTGTCACCATGTAGATATTCTCAATAATTTCTGAACAAGGAGCTCCACATTCTAATTTTGCTCTGGGTCCAGCAAATTATATAGCAGATCCTGCAAGAGGCTTGAAGCAGCAGGATAGGTGTGGGGAACCACAAGGAGGTCCATACTGTTGGTGCACAGGCTTTGCATGGGAGGCAAAGGACAGTCAAGAGAAGGGCCTGGAATGTTAGGCTGGGGCCAGATCGCTACAGAGCTGTGCATGCTGAGGAGCAGGGACTTCATCTGCTGGGCCAGGAGTGAGCAAACTACCCGCTGAATCTAGCCTGCCTCTTGTTTTTGTACAGCCTGAGAGCTAAGAGTGGTTTTTACACTTTTAAATGGCTGGGAAGAACTCAAAAGGAGAACACTATTTTGGAACATGTGAAAATGACAGGAAATTCAAGTTTCGGTGGCCATAAATCAGTCTATGTTGCTTTCCCACTACAACGGGAGAGTTGAGTAGGTTGGACATAGACTCTATGGCCCATTCATTTGGTCTGAAATATTTACTCTCTGGTCCGTTACAGAAAAAGTTTGCCAGCTTCCGTGCCAGGTCAGTATCTCCCAAACTGCATTCTTCAAAAGACAGATTCCCCAGTCGAATACCTTTATAAAATGCTGGGTTGAATTAAGATTAAATAGGCATCTTTACCAGCCCTCAAATAGACCCGTGTGCACTGGGACTCTCCACGAGGGGAAGGAAGCAGGCAGACTCATTTGAGCGCTGAACCCCTCTTCCAAGGGAAAGCGGGGACTCAGTTAGGCAAACACTCCTTCAGGCATAGGGAGCCCTCCGAAGGGTTTTCAGCAAGAAGATGAGGCAATCCGATTTGTATTTGCCTCCTGTCCCCTTGTCCCATATGGCACACACAGACAGTAATCATTTTTGTCCGTCCACTGGGATAAGGGGATGAGGCTGCCGCTCACAGCCCTGTGCAGTTGGCAGCTTGGTTTCTCCAGGCTCTTCGGGCTGCTCCGGCAGAGCAGGGTCCTCAGTGAGCTGAGGGTGGAGCCAGGCAGGGGCCCTAGGAGACCAGGCACGAGGCGAGGGGTGCTGACGGCAGGGCAGCAGTGGTGGGAAAGGAACAGGCAGAGCCAGGAGACGCTTAGGAAGCCCATTTAGGGAGCCTGGCGAGGGCTCTGCGAAGGCACAGCGGGCAGGGACGGTGAGAAGGCGGAGCCTGCGGTGCCTGTCCAGCTTGAGCGACCCGGCGGCCTTAGCAACACTGCCGCCTCCGGCCAAGAGGCCTGTTTGAACGCGGAGCCATCACACTGCCGGTCCTCCGAACGTGGCGACACACATCTCTTCCCCTTTCATTCTTAAATCGGGAATCCCAAAGCTGCCACCACACCCCCCGCCCTGCCTGTGGCAGTCCGCCACAAACGACTTGACTTCACTTCACGTCGAAGGCCGGCGCACCCTCTGTCTCCAAGCTCAGCTGCCTTTACAGCCTCAGTCACCCAGTCACCCACCCCAAGAGACCTCTGCTAGACAACAGGGACCCCGGAGCAAAGCCCAGGGAGCCCCTGCACAAATGACAATGATTCCAAGGCTGGAGCGTTAAAATATATCGTTTCAATGGGGGCAATGGGGGCTTTTAAAACGACAATGACTTTTTACTGCCATTGTTTCCTAAGTGCGGACCCAGACCTCGGGGATGAGGAGGCATGGGCACCTGCAAACAGGGGGGGTACAAGAACGGCAGCGAAGGCACGCTTCCCACCCCCGGGAGGCGTGAGGATGGCCTCAGTGCTGGGAAATGGCGGCCGCAGATGGCACCTCCCCAGAGCACCGCTGTGCGGTGGGTGCATGGACAAGGGCCGGGGGCCCAGGAGGGAAGGCGCAAAGCCATGAGGGAAGCAAGATGCGTCCCCTCAGTCACCCGCATGGAGCCATGAACAGCTCAGTACATAGCAGGACTCTCACCCGAGAGCTAAGAGTTAAATCCAGGAAACGCGTATGCAGCATTCAGGCTCAGAAGCCAAACATCCAGCAAACAATGGTACCCTCTCACCAGCTCGGCCATCCCCGTTTATAAGGAGTGACACTGTTCCTAGCGAGGTCTGACCTCACCCCCGACGCTGGGTCCAGATCCCATCCCTCTTATGTTGGCAAGGACTTTGCTCCTTCAATTGCCAATCCTTTCTGATTTAATTGGTCTGACTGGGTCCCCAGTGCTGGAACGTTTGAAAAGTTCCTCAGGTGATTCTAATGTGCAGCTTTGGTTGAGAAACTTAAGTCAGATGAGGTCAGTCCCTTTCTTGAGTCCCTGGCTTTTCAGGGCAGGTAGCATAGAGTCCGGGCCATTTCCCCCAGCCTGGCCCTGCTGGGCTGTGGCCTCAGCTCCCTCCATGTCCCCGGGGTTAACCATCTTCCAGCCACACTGGCCTCCGGGTCATCCACCACCTGAGTGACCTTCCTCCCATCTCCGGGCCCTGCTGTCCCCTCAGTGCGGGCACGTTGTCCACAGCTTTCTACATGGCTGCCTTCTTCTCAGTCACATTTCAACTCAGGGGCCACCTCCTCAAGGACACATTCCGGTGCCACCTGAGGTCACACAGAGTACTCCTGCCGCGGACATTCTCCAGCCCAACATCTTGCTTATCTTCTTCATAGCCCTCGTTGGAACCCAAATTATCTTAGTTCCTTGGTTTCCTGTTTACTGTCTATCTCCCCTCACAATCTGTTTGAGGGCAAGACCCTGTGGGCCTAGGGTGGTGCCTGGCTCTTAGAAGGGGCTCAGTAAATATCTGATTGACTGTTAGAAAAGAAACAAACTGGGACATCAAGGTAAAGCAAGTTGCCTAATCATACATCCCACGACAGCATCCGTTATGGTGTGATCTGCCCACCCTGTATTGCCTCTTTGTCTCTTCCTTTCTTCTTGATTCTACCTCCTCGGCTACGTCAGGGATCACGAGGGATCTGAGGCACCAGGAAATGAGGAAAGCGGTCTGGGGAGACATAGGGAACTGCAGCTCATACCCTGGGCTAACGGGGGGTGGGTGCTCCATGGAATGGGGGCCCAGTGTTGTCAGATCTTCCAATTTTCCACAAAAAGTCATAAATCTGGATTCTTCCATGAGATCTTCTACATTTAAATGTTGGTGACTAAAAGGAAACACTTGTATGTCAAGTAAGTAGGATCCTCAGGCGGTGGCTTGTAACTTTTGGGATCCATCTTCGGATAATCTCTCTGTGACTGTAAACTTACCCTTCTTCCTCAATCCTTACTGACTGAAGGAGGGCCAGTTCGGTCAGCCCCTGGTAAAGTGGTGTTCCAACTTTTTGACTACACAGAATAATAATAAATTCACAATATAGTTTAATATAAATACATAATAAATTGGTAATATGACCTCAAATACACATGTCTATGACCACAGTAAGGTCTCTTTGAAGCAATACTTAACCTTATTGTCTGCTATATGCCCTGATGTTTTCCATTCTTTCCTACTTCATTTTTTTTAATGCTGGTGATCCACTAAATTGATTGCCATCTCAATAATAGGTCATTTCCTACAGAATTTGAAAAACTCTTAGTATACTCTGGACAGGGGTGATTCCAATGGTTGGGGCACACCTTAGAACTTGAGGTTTGTAGCTTCTCTGTTTCCAGGTTTAGATACCCACTAGCAATTCTGTGGAAAAGAACTGGAAAAGCCCCATTCAACTTTAGCTTACATTGTCACATGGGATTGGAAAGGTGTTTTCAAAGACCTCAAGCTTAGCACACATCGTATGAATCTTAAATGTGCCTAATGAAATTAACAGCTGTTTGAACACTGATTTAAAAATCATTTATTTCCAATACAGGTGAACCCCTTCATTAGAAAACACTTACCCTAAATATTCTTTTCCTACCAAGTAACTTTAAAAAAAAACAAACTGTGCTGGGGCACCTGGGTGGCTCAGTTCTTAAGCATCTGCCTTCGGCTCAGGTCATGATCCCAGGGTCCTGGGATCAAGCCCCGCATCGGGCTCCCTGCTCCGCGGGAAGCCTGCTTCTCCCTCTCCCGCTCCCCCTGCTTGTGTTCCCTCTCTCGCTGTGTCTCTCTCTCTCAAATAAATAAAATCTTTAAAAAAAAAAACAAACTGCTATCTAGGTATTCTTCATAAATGCCCAGAAAAATATATGAACACTGTTTCTTAACCAGGTTTGCACAATATTCACTAACCGTTAGTTAATGTAAAACTCCTGTGGGGTTTGAAAAAAAAAAATCATGTAAAAATAGCTTTTGTGTGCCAATTCAAAAAAACAATGCCCGCCCCCAGATTTCAAAGGATGTGACCCAGCCTTACACTCAGCGAGAGGCAGGGTCCTGTCAGGCAGCAGGGCCCCCTGGGAGGCCGCCCTGAATAAGCGAGACCGAGCACTGCTTATTCTTCTGATCTTCACAGGGTCCACTGGGGGTTTGGGAAAGGCAAGGTAAGGATCCTCCTCCGTGGTGGGAGATGCTGGAGCTTTCGGTTTCTGGAAAGAGATTTTTCAAATGATTGGCAAGAGTTTCCACGTCTCAAATAAGACTCACCCCCGTGGAGCTGGTGCTGACACTTCCAGATGAACACAGGGCTTGCTGCTCGGCTTCGTCCTGGCCACCTGATTCTACATCGCGCTGGCCCATTTTACTTAATGTCGGATAGATATATATATAAAATATATATTTTAAAATAATAAAAATATCAATTTAAATACTCTATTACCATGCTTAGCATGTTTGAAAAAACAATTTATCCATGCTAGGAAATAGATATCTGTATGAGACTGTAAAATTTGATATAATATAGTCAAAATGTTTTGTAAATTTTTGTGTTCTTGCCAGCTCAGATAACACTGAGCACCTGTATATGCCAAGAAGTATGTGGAATATAAGTACTATCTTTACATATTTTGGACTCCACAAAAGTATTTTTTTAAGAATATAAAAATTCTTGAATAATTTAGATTATAAAGTCTAAAACATAAGAACAGGAAGTTGTCTTGGAATTACAATATAAAAATGTTTTATTTTCGTGGCGCCTGGGTGGTTCAGGTCTTGATCTCAGGGTCCTGGAATCGAGCCCCGTGTGGAGCCCTGTGTGAAGCCCTACACTGGGCTCCACGCTCACTGGGGAGTCTGCTTATCTCTCTCTCTCTCTCTCTCTGTCCCCCCCCCACTCTCTCTCTCTCAAATGAATAATATAAAATCTTTAAAAAATGTTTTGGGGTGTCTGGGTGGCTCAGTTGGTTAAATGGCTGCCTTCTGCCCAGGTCATGATCCTGGGGTCCTTGGATCAAGCCCCACTTTAGGCTCCCTGCTCAGCGGGGAGTCTGCTTCTCCCTCTCCCTCTGCTCCCCGCCCCCCACTTGTGCTCTCTTTCTCACTCTCTTAATAAATAAAATCTTTTAAAAAATGTTTTATTTTCTACATCTCAAGAATTCCATGCTGATACCCTTAGAAAATGAACATTACTGGCAAAATTCCAGTTCCTTAAAGACTTTAAAAAATATCAGCACCGAAGCACTGGGCACTATGCCACCCAGAGCACCCTGTAGTCTCACCTCCAGATGGTAGCATCCAACCCAGGGCCAGAAACTCACAGGGACCTAAACTCCCACTTTTGGTGTTGCTTAGTGATCCACCCTTCCTCCCTCCAACTTTAACATGATTATCTGTTTATGAAAGAGTAACTTTATGGCAGCAGGTGCTTTTAGCTCTCTAACCAAAATAATCGAGTTAAAGTTCCTAAAATCACTTACATAATATGTGAATGAGTGACTTTCAATCTAATAGGTAAATCAACACATTTTTTAGAAATCCAGTGTGAGGGCGCCTGGGTGGCTCAGTCGTTAAGCGTCTGCCTTCAGCTCAGGTCATGATCCCAGGGTCCTGGGATCGACCCCCACATCGGGTTCCCTGCTCAGCGGGAAGCCTGCTTCTCCCTCTCCCTCTCCCCCTGCTTGTGTTCCTGCTCTCGCTATCTCTCTGTCAAATAAATAAATAAAATCTTAAAAAAAAAAAAAAAAAGAAATCCAGTGTGCAATTCAAGTAAGACGATTTGGAAAAATGGGTGAGGGTGTGGTTATGTATCATATATAACACATAATTTCAAACATTCATTTTCTCATATTCATTAATAGAACATAGAACATATTAGAGTTCTCCTTCTAAGCAGTTGCTTATTTTAATAATGATATTTTTCAAAATATTTCTTGTATCCTCTTGTTCATTTCATATGAATCAATCCATAAACCAGACAGAAAAAAATTAGCTTAATGACTTTAGAGATACATTTTTCTAAACACAGAAAAAGGGTAAATAAAATAATCAGCCTAATATAGGGGAAGAGTAAATGACTCTGGGATCAAATCCAACTGGAGTGTAATCCATTTCTAGTTATGTGAACGTGGGCAGGCCATTTACTTCTCTGAACTTGCCCAGCTATCAAATGGAGATAGTCTCCTTCTTGCAGGGACATTGACATCCGTAAAACTCCTGTTATGGAGGCTCGAGAAATGCTAGCTCCCTTTACCCTTTATTTAACAGATTTGTTTCCAAGTTACTTTTAAGTGTCAAAAGTCAAGACCCTTAGGGGCGCCTGGGTGGCTCAGTCAGTTGAGCATCTGCCTTCGGCTCAGGTCATGATCCCAGGGTCCTGGATTGAGCCCCAGGTCAGGCTCCCTGCTCAGAGGGGAGTCTGCTGCTCTCAATTCCTCTGTCCCTCCCCCCGCTCATGCGCACATGCCTGTTCTCTCTCTCTCTCTCTCAAATAAATAAAATCTTAAAAAAAAAAAAGCCAAGACCCTAGCCTCTGACACAACCTTACTGGAAAAAAGGTTTTGAATTCAGAGGGGTCTCTTCTGAAGGAGACAACACTCACTTGTCTGCATAAATTATGCTATATTTACTTAATAGTCCCTTTACTTTTTAGTCTCCCTACCTTGTTGCAAAATATTCATAAGAATGTGACTTAGACCATGAAACTATTGGTAACAAAAAAGGTAAGAGTATAACACAGGAAAACAAGCACTTTAGTTATAGTTATGAAAGATGAAATACATAAGGATAATCTCAGTATTAAATGTACATATGAGGTTGTCTGATCTCAGAATGCCTGTACTCTGCAGGTACCTTGAATCTTGAAACAAAGATTGAAAAGTCTGCCAAATAATAATAATGTGAATAAAGCAAATGGCTTCTTTTATAGATGCCCTAACCATTATAAATGTTTTGGGTATTAAGTAAAAGATCTTATAAAAAGGGAACATGTGCAAAGTTAATTTTTACCCAAAAGAAAATAACCCAATTATCTCTGGATGGCAAGATAAAACCCCTTAACTGCTCCTTGATAAAACACATTATTTTCCAAGTGCAAAATCTGTCATTGTTTATATAATGAAAAATAAGTCCCATGTGACTCCTGTCCTTAACAAAAATTATTTATTCCATTTAAACACGTATCTCACTGGACTACGTAAAAAGTATAAAGTAATACATGTAAGCATTTTTAGTTCTTCAAGGGAAAACTGCTAAACAAGCTATCAATTTCCATCCTGCCAGCTTCTACAACACGTTCTTCCACTTTGAGGAGCAAATTGGCTTTTATGCAGCAAAACAGTAAAAACTTTTTTCTTATAAGATTCACTTCATTTTCGAACTCAGAGAACATTGCAAGGACGTTGAAATTTTCCCTTGAGGACCTCACCTCCCTCGTTTTGTGTGCCATGACACTAACCAGCGACTCGAGTATAATTAAGGACACTGGGAAAGTCAGATTGTAGGATCTGTTCTGGCTGATAAAACCGCTGGAGTCTGTGGAAGAATGAAAGACTGTTCTCATAGAACAACCCAATCGAACAAGATAAAATTCCTAGAACATTTAAAGAATCTGCCTGGCCTTGACTCTTACCCCAGCATGGTGGGCCTTGACCAGTTTTTGACATGGTTCCTCTGGGTCACAAGACAGAAAGGCGGAGTCTCCCCTATTCTATGGGAAGGGGAGTCGGCCACAGCCCACCTCAGAAAGTTGCTAGGATTTCTTTTGTAGAGCAACAGAACACACACACACACACACACACACACACACACACACACATACTAAAAGACCTTTTGGAAGTTAGAAAGCAAATATTAAAAATTCGTGCAAGTGAGGAAGAGTGTTTTTGCCTTCTCTGCTTCGGCCGAAACATCCATTTTTTCCCCTTAGACACTGGTGCTTCTGGTTCTCAAGCCTTCACATTCAGACAGGGACTCACACTACCAGCTACCTGCTACTTTCTCTCCCATAGCTTTTCAGGCCTGGTTTTCCTAGGCCTCCGGCTTGCAGACCGCAGACCCGGGGACTTCTCAGCCCCCCTAATCATGTGAGGCAATCCCTCAAAATAAATCTCTTTCTATATATCTGTATATAAGTATGTATGTATTTATCTGACTACTGGTTCTTTTTTTCTGGAAAACCCTGAGTCAGACAATTGTGTATCAATTATACCTTACTAAAGCTGTTTAAAAAAAAAATTCCTACAAGCACATAACCTTTGGATGTGGCAATTGTATGTGCATCTCTACTACTATGATTTTCTCCACAGGTATGCTGGGCTCCTCTGTCATTCTAAGCATGTGACTCACTGCGGCAATGTTCCCATTCAGGAATAGTGACAGAAAAAAAAAACACTGCTTTGACATTCTCATTCTGCTTTCTCTTACCCTGGATTTCCCCTATCCCCAAGGTATATATGGGATTCCAAGTCCCTTTCTTTTAAAAATATATTATTTTACTTGTCAAATACTTGGAGCTTGGTTCCTGTAAAATTTAAAAAAGTGGCTCAAACTAATCTATGCTGGGGGTGCCTGGGTGGCTCAGTTGCTTGAGCGTCTGACTCTTTGATTTCGGCTCAGGTCATGATCTCAGGGTCGTGGGATCAAGCCCCCTGTCAGGCCCTGAGCTCAGCGTGGAGTCTGCTTGTCCCTCTCCCTCCACTCCTCTCCCTGCTCGCTATCTCTAAAATAAATAAATACAATTTAAAAAACCCTAATCTATGCTGTGAGATCAAGACAGTAGTCACCCTGGGGAGGCAACTTCTGGGCTGCTGGTAATAATCTACTTTTTCTTTTTGAATGCTGATTACAGAGTGAGGTGAGTTTGTGTAAATTTATCAAGCTGCACTCTCATATCTGTGTCTCTTCGGCATGTCAATAAAAAGTTTAATAAAAATACTTGGGGCCTAAACAACTAGACTTTGTAGGTTTAGGAAACACAGGGAGAATTCTGTTTGACACAAATAATGATGAAAGACAAAAACGTCCTATTTATTTGCAGGGTCACATCTCTTTTCCTACTTCATACAACCCAAAGTAAGAGAGCAGCTGTTCCTGTGTATATAAATCTGAACACCAGTTAACCAGGGTAGCAGAATGAAAACAGAAATAACGACTGCCACCCAACAACAGCTCCATGTGTCAGAACTGTCGTGGGAAGGTGGGGAGCTGCTACAAAAGAAAACAGATGTACAGGGCCACACCGATATAGCAAGTAGGTATACATGTTTCCCTCCTGTCTGGCAGGATTACAGGAGCTCATGGGGACCTTGCCCAGCCAGTCAGGCCAGGCAGCCGAGGCCCGAGCGGTCAGGGGCCAGGGCACCCCTGAGGGGAGGCAGCCCACCACCTGCTAGAGGGTATGGGGGTGGGGGAGGAGCACAGTCCGGACCCGGGGGTGGGTGGCTGGAGGGGTCGAAATGGGGAGAGGGGAAAACATAAAAGCTCAAAGAGCTGAGCTGAATGGGCTGCTTTCTTGGTCCCTCTTCCTTGATTGGCTGCTAGCTGAGGAATTATTAAAAGGCAAACTCGCCTGAGAAAGTAACCCAGAGCCAGAAAGTGCTGAAGTTCAGTCCCTTAGGTCTTCGCAAATTCTTTCAGCAAATGAGCCCCTTAACTAGGAGATACCCCAGTCCCAGCCTCCAGCTGTCTCCTTGTTCCCAATCCCTCTTCCTGCACTCCTCCTTCCCTTAATCTCCCTCCTTTGCCAGGACAGTGGTTCTCGGAGTCAGACGGTTCTCTCAAAGGTGAAAGGGAAAAGAGGAAAGAAGGTGGAGGGGCAGGTAGTATAAGTTCACTTTCAGAATTTTTTGACTGGGGACTCCAAACTTTAGTTACGGTTTAAAATGAAATATATACTTAAGACCCTTACATAATCTCCTATAACAAAAGGAGTTCAAACTAAAGGAGTTATTTTACTCAACATGGGTTACTGGGTCTACTTTTACTTTGCACATAGCACCTAACCATTCTGCAGTAAAGAAATATAATTAAAATGACCATAAACAGAGGCAAATGTCAATATTACTCTGCCTAATACCTAATCCTGCAGCCCAAAAACTGTACCAGTTTGACAAGCACTGGCTTTGACTAGGTTAACTCTAGAACTAGAGATTTTTAGGCTAGAATAGGCCCAAACTGAGTGAATCTCCCCAAACTACAGAATATTAAAAACAATTCAAGGGGGTCAAATGCCAGAATCATAACACAGAGAGCCACTCTACAACAAGGTAGACCCATTGGGCTTCTAAACCAGGGGCCCTCCTGTAGCTGGCTCAAAACCCAAGTGGTTTCCAAGATTGCAAGTGTAAGAAACTATGTGTCAACAATGGCTGGCAAAGTGTTTATTGCACATTGGTCCATGCTTACTACATTGGAACCTTATTTTTGCCATCTACAATATGAGAACAAGCATAACCTTCCTCATGGCGGCATTTTGTTGAGTAGTTCAAGAATATAAGATACATTTTGAGACAACTGGGGTCATTTGAACATGGACTGTACATTAGATGATATAACCAAGTAATGTTAATTTTCTGAGCTCTGATGATAATATGGTGGTGATGTAGGAGATTGTCCTTGTTCATATAAGATGCACACTTAAATTTTTATGCATGAAGTCTTAAAAGATCTGCAACTTACTTTCAAATCGTTCATCAAAAACAAACGTGCACACACACACACAGAAATAAGCACACATATATACGGTAATAAAAATCAAGAAACAGCTTGACTAACACCCCCCATTCCATGAAAGTCACGAGGTACTTGTGGCAGCAGAGCTACAAGGGGAAGAGACTAAAATAACAAGGATTGGCTGAAAGTCTGTGTAGCTCCTTCCCTCCCAGCTCCATGTAGTCACGCTACATGGTTGGGAGATTTGCTCCATATAGAAGGTAAAACAGAGGGCTCTGAATCAGGCTAACCATGCAGAGGTAAGTGTCAGGGTACTTATGATAAATATAGATATTAACTGAATATTTACCTACTGAATGCTAGGTATTCCTACCTTCTTCCTCCAGCTGGTTCTTGGAAGTTAGCAACCAGCATTTATCCTCTAGGCAAGAGCTTAGAAGATACTTCTTTAGAGAATTAACTAGCCACAGGGAAATCCCTAAAGACACTGCTAATCCCTAAAGATACTACTACTGGGGTTTCACAAACAACACAGCCCAGCTAGTCCTCCCTGATGTGGGTAGGTATCACCTATGGGTTGACCAATCTATTCCACATGCTTCTACTTTCAAATAAGAGCAGCCAAACTAGCAGCATGGGCTATCAGAGGAGAGCCTCTGAAATGAAAAAGAGAAACCAAAATAAACATTAAAATGCAACAGAGACACAGAGGGAAGACCATGTAAAGACTCAGGAGAAGATGGCCATCTACAAGCCAAGGAGAAAGGCCTCAATAGAAATAAACCCTAATGCCCCCTTGATCTTCAACTTCTACTCTTCAGAACTGTGAGAAAATAAATTTCTGTTGTTTAAACCACACACACACACACACACACACACACATTCACACACACACACACACATTCACAAAGAGCAACAGAGATTTTAAAGGAAGAAGGAAATAATTCAAAAATCAAAATTATCATCAATATACTCAGACAAGATGCTATAACCATGAAACACAAGAATAGTATATATGATAAAAGATAACTTAGAGCAGGGAAAAAGCTTTTAGGAAATTAAAAATAATTAAATAATTTAAAAATACAGTAGCAGAAATGAAAATAACTCAATAAAAGGATTAGAAGACAAAATGTCTTCCAAAAAAAGATGGGAAATAAAAATTTAAAAAAGAAAAGAAAACTGAAGTACCAGTCCAGGGACTCCTACATATTGGAATAATAAATTCCAGAAAGAGCAAACAGACCAAAGAGGGGAAGACACACCAAAATAATTCAAGGATATTTCCCAGAGTTGAAGGGCATGAGATTTCATTGAAAGTGCCTAGCACAATGGATGAAAAAGAACTATCACAAAGGTGCATTATCATGAAATGTCAGAACACTGGAAACAAAGAAAAATCCTACAAACTTCTAGAGAGAAAAAATAGCAATCAAGGTCTCAAATAAAGTACTTCCCATAAACCCTTTCTCTAGAAGCTACTGGAGGAAGTACTCCAAAAGTAAATCAAGAAAGAGAAAAACTTGGGATACAGGAGACAGGAAAGCCATCACAAGGGGGAGAAGCAAGCTGTGTGCAAGTACCAAGGGTAAATGGTTTGGGAGAAAGTGGGGAAAGTTCTCCAAAAAGATGAATCAACAGAATACCTCATGTACCTGAATATGTGAAGGAGATTTAGATCCCTGGGGAAGAGTTTGGAGTTGAAATGGTAATAATACAAGACACAAAAGCAAGGCAATTATTAACACCAGGGAAAACAAAAAGTGGTGTGAGGAAGGAGAAGTAATCATCATTAGTTCAAGACTCAGTTGTAAACAGGATTTGTATAATCATAGTCAGAGAAAAGGGATCTAACCAAAATTATGATATATCTATATTGGGAACAGCAGTGGGGACAAAAAGGATGAATGTGTTGTGAGGATGTGTGGGAGGACAGACAAGAGTTAAATCTTCATCTTCCTTAGTGAGAAGTCATTAGATAATTCCTCAAACTCATAAGTCAAAGAGGAATAAGACACTGTTATTTAAAATTTTGGATGTAAATACCAAAAGAAGTTGCCAAAAGAGTTTAAAGTGAGAGTCATTGGTAAGGGTAGAATGAAGAGTAAGGGGACAGGAGACCCCTGGAGTGTTCTGGGTAACAAACCTTTGACTCTTTATGTACATACATATATAATTTATTTGTATATGTTACTATTAAAAATAAAATAACATACGCATAATTTAAAAAATTGTGAAAAACAAAAAATGTAAAACTTTCTGTTTGCCAGGTTACTATTTCTGATATTCTTATTATTACATTATAGGAAAATAATAGAAGTGTTTCATTAGATTCAAAACATTAAATTTGAAAAAATATAAAAGAAATTGTTTTTGTATTAAATTATCAGTATGCTTAAGTCTATATGATCATTTTCTTAGCATATATAGGTACTGATTCCCAGTATGTTGGGCCAATTCCATTTCACAGCATTTATGGTAATATAAAGTACTCACAAGCTCTAGCGGACTGAGACGAGCACCAGAGATGGGCCTGGAATCAGATGACTCAAAACTGGATGCATGGAGGCTAGCAGAGGAGATGGAACAGAAATATTAGTTTGTGAAGAATCATTTATTTCTAGTATATGTTAGTTAACTCTAGCCCCAAAACAAGTAAAAGCATTTAATGCATAAGCCTTGAGGAAGAAGCAAATTTAAAAAAAATCATAGTGCTTAAAACATTTTATTAATTTTTTTCATTGCTTTTAGGGGAATTAAAAAATACTGAATAATGAAAAGAAGAAATGTATATAGTGATTTTTTTAAAAAGCTCTGTTCATATCACTTCATAGAGTTGGTATGACAACCACTATTCACCATTTCAAACCAAAGCAACTTCTTGAACCCAAGGTCTGGACTTATCTTTAGGAATCTTGAATAGATACAAGAGGTGTAATTAGCAGACATCAAACTTAAAAAAACAACTATTCATAACTAGAATTAAGGGAAAATGTCATTTGGTGGCTTACATATCCAAGTGTACAAGCAAGAGAAATGTCATTACCTGAAGGAAGAAGGAGGTCTATTTTCCAGTGTTCTTGAAGATGCAGGCCCGAATAGTTTTCTTTGGTCTTCCCGTGGTGTAAATGGTCTTTGGGTCCCAACTGTTCTTAAAGCATTTCGTGCTTCACTTATGATCTCTGCACTGGTCTTCTGCTTGGACATAGAAGGTCGATAAAATGGATCCAGCTTTTCTAACTTTTTATCATTTGGAGATAGCATCTTTCCTTTTAACGTAAAATGTTCTTCAGGTAGACACCACACGCTGCAAATATATGGTACAAAATATTAACTATTTTCATCCAGGAGTTTAGAAAAGAGTGCTTAAACCCATCTACATATGCTTAAGCCATTCCTCTATATTAAACTAGAAAAAGTCACAATTTTTTTTAAAGATTTTTAATTTATTACTTATTTGAGAGAGAGAAAGAGCCTGTGAGCGGGGGGTGGGGGCCGAGGGAGAGGAAAAGGGAGAGAATCCCAAGCCAACTCTGCACTGAGCGTGGAGCCCGATGTGGGGCTTGATCTTACAACCCTGAGATCATGACCTGAGCTGAAATCAAGAGTCTGTCGCTTAACTGACTGAGCCACCCAGGTGCACTGTCACAAAAAATTTTTATTTTTTTAAAAAAGATTTTATTTATTTATTTGACAGACAGA